CAAAGGCGCTGCAATCTATCATAACCGTGCAGATGATGTATTGGAAACAACACGATGCTTTGTTGTTGCAATCCTCTATAACAACTTTGTAAATAAATTGAAAACTAAACGAAACACGTCGACAAAATACTGCTCTCTTGATTGATTTTAAAAACTTTAAGAGACCACACAGACTACAGACTTCTTATCTGCCATGAGTTTAATGGTATCGAGCTGCCATATAATTTACCCGACGTTCTTACGGTGAAGGAAAACATCGTGATGCAACCTGCAAATATCGGCGTGGAAATTCAAAGATATGTGTGAAGTCGACCAACCCGCACTTGGCCAGCGTGGTTGACTATGGCCTAGTCATCCTGTATTAGGGTAGGCTCCGAGCCCCTCGGTGGGGACGTATAGTGAGCTGGTGATGAGCTGTCATATAAAACAAAATTGGTGTAATGGGCTTCCATAAATGTTCATACTCATTAGTCAACCGACTAAGCTATCGGTCAATTAAGTCTGTGGGAGCTCTAAGATCCTCGTTTATTGTTCCAATTCTCTATAACAAATTTCTAAATAAAACAATATGAAACATCCCAAAAATGCTACTCTTGAGATTGATGTAGCAATCTTTAAAAAAAATTTACAGACTTATATTTTAATCAAATTGGGCTGTAGAGCCAAAATCACATAAAACAATTACAGTGTAATTACTTTACCACCATACATTTTCGTACATTTAGCGACCGAGTAAAATATCGCCAAAAAAGTTTATAATCTGCAAACGCTTGAAGACGCTCGTAATATTCGTTAACAAAAACCAAAATGTAAAATGGAATTGCTAACTGTAACGAAAATGTTGGTAATAAATTTTATTATTAGTGCAGTAAAAAATATATCATAACCGGTAACAATAGCTTACCTAACTCGGATTTAGGTCGACAAAAAAACCTAGATACATTATTACCGTTTGTTGCAGAGAAAACAACGAAGAATATAAAAATATAATATTCTGTAGTAGAATTTATTCTATGTGTATTCTGTTTTAACATTAAATACGAATACGTTAGAAAGCGCTTAACATTTTTGCAGATTAAAAATATTAGAAATCATTTTACAAATTTTATTTTGAATCTGTTTTACAATTTCACACCTGGGCTTTTATGCATTTCCATGCCAAAAAAAAGTTAATTGTCGTTAATTTCCTGTACTCTAATTCGCATTAAATACTTAGACTGAAGCAAGTTTGTTACAAGGATATAAAGCTTGTATTTTTCTTACTCTTATATGAGTTTGTTATGTTATAATTTTATATGCGGTTTAAATTAAAGAACCGTTATCAACCGCTCGTTTGCCGCAATGCACCAGCGCCCAAAATTCGCATAATTTCGGGAGTGTATTTAAAAAGCTTTGCCGAAGATATTCTACTAAAATATTTTTCTTTAATTATTGTGTTCAATTTGGAATATGTTTTATTTAAACATTTAATATATAAGTATTTCTTTGTCATTGTTAAACTAAAACAAATTATTGCTTTGTAAATTTAAATGAAGATTGCTAGAAATGTCCTGTGTTGTCTTTATAAATAAATGGTTTTGAATCACTTTTGAAACACTATACACTTCATGAGACCCTTGGCTCCTGTACTAGGTTCCCCTGTGCTGCAGGAGCCAAGGCTCTCATGAAGTCTATAGTTTTCAAAAGTGAAAGAATAAACCATTTATTTACAAAGACAACACAGGACATTTTTAGCAATCTTCATTTAATTAATTCATGAAGTGTATATTTTAAGGCCTTTCCCATTTATGAATACATAGTAAGATTTTAAATAAAGTAAAAATAGATACTTGAGTAAACTCAATTTGTAAAATCCTAATTTTACTAACTCAGCCTTAATTTTCTAACGATTAAACCTCAAATTCTATGTTTAAATTTCACAAAGCGCTTTATTAGTATTATGTAACATTCTCGTAACATTTAACTATTATTGCGGGATAATACGTTATTAGTACACGAAACAACACGAGTACAACTGAGTATCTAACTTTAACTGTTTGCTGGAATCATGTTCTGTAAACACACCTGTCGGAGTGGTCACGAATTGAAAATCAACTGCTGGTAGTCATGCGAGAAGTTTAAAAATAGAAAACGACTATTCCCAAATCGATCGTTACGAACAGAAGTTTACACAAAATGATCTTCATTTTAACTATAAAGGAAACTTTAATCGAGATTTGAAATTTGTTTTTAATTCCGCTTAGATTTAGCATTAGCATTTAGCATTTACCATTAGCTTCTATTAAATAATCAATGGCTAACCCGATACAATCACGAACTTCACCAAATCTTTAATGAGCCAAATGTCGTCAAGGCCATCAAAATTGTTCGGCTACGCTGGGCAGGACATGTAGCGAGGATGAATGACTGCAGAGACCCCAAGCGCCTATTAGATAGACAACCAGAGGGACGTAGATCACGCGGGAGGCCGAAACTAAGATGGCAAGATGATGTCGAACGAGATCTTAAAAATGTCGGCATTCAGGGCTGGAAACAAAAACCAAGATAGTCCGGTATGGAGGAATTTATTGGACCAGGCCCAAGCCCATCCACGGCTGTTGTACCTCTGATGATGATTAGTTTCTATTGAAAATTATCTTAATAATTCTTGTCTTTTTATTTAATAACACAAACAAATACGAAACGATTTACTTAGTTTGGAAGGTTTTACTCACATTTATTACCCTTTTGTTTTAGGGTTGTACTTCTAAAGGATTCATCCAGACGAACCGTATCACATAAAAGTGTCATTAAACTAAATACAATGGGAGTTTTAACATGTATTATTATCTGATGTAAAAACATCGAAGTTAATCAAAAGATAATTGATGAAATGAAAGTGGCTGCGTCGCAAAAGCAATTAGAGTCCAGTTAACGATTTCCATCTGACTCAATGTTTGCCATTAACTTGACACAAGCAATTTATCTGTTGGCAACATTTTAGTCCTTTCAGCCGTACGGTGTAATCCAATTTGCGTGTGCGGGACGCGTGGGACGCAAATCACGCGACTCTATTCTCGATTTACACAAAACCAGACGATTCGATTGTTTTTTTTAACAATAAAATATAATAGAGTGCAATTTTTATCAGCCAGCCAGTAAAGAATGATTACGTCAATGAAAATAGCTTCATTACTTAGGTTATTGTAAGATTTTTTTTAGTCACCAGTATTTTTTTATCTTATCAATGATGAGTCTGTGCTAATTTACTTCTTTTTACTTTTAACAATTTGTCACAATAGGAAATGTTTTCTGTATCATAGTTGAAATGTTATTTCGATAATAAGTCCGTTTCAATTATTTCAAAGACTAAAAGAAGCGTTGTTTTTTAGTATACCAGGGATATAAATTAAAACAAAAATAAATTAAACATTTTTCATTTATTTTTAAAACAGCTGTACTGTTAAAGTACAATAAAGAGCTCAATTGTGCTTAAAATAAATTTCAAACTTAAGATTTAATTTTTAATAATAAACAAATAGTTACTAATGCTTTACATTGAAAACAATTCTTATTTGGAGTAAACAATATCACAGTTCTTAGCAGACAAATAATTTCAGGTTAAAAAAGGTAATCGCTTGAACGAAGAAATGTGGAACAGCAAAATAACTTAACATGTAATTCCCTTAAACATTATGTTTACTTACAATATTCAGTAGGAATTATCCTTCAAAAAAAAAATACGTTCGACTCATTCTTTATGTTACCGAAATAAACTTTATATAACCAAATCAAATTACATAATGAATAAATTTATATAATACAAACCACTAAGTACCAAAATGGCAGTATTCATTCTAGTATTGACAGCAATATTATTTGAAATTATTTACAACTCTAAGAGCCTGTGTCACCACTAACTGATGCTCTGATAGCTTGAAAATGACGTCACTATCAGATAACACAATCCGATATTTCCATCGCATACTTTACTCGATCGATTGTTATCAAACAATTTACAATTGGGTAGGACTGACACTAAAATATTTTTAACTTTATTTTTTAACTTCGAAGAAGCTTATGTATACTTAGAAATATCAGAAGCCATCTATTTACAATAGGCCTATAATAAACAGCTGACAATCAAGGGCGGATTAGAAACACAAAAATAGGTAAATCTCATTTTGTAACAATACCAATTTTCTAATATTCTTACCTTGTAATAATAAATGCAATTCTTTATATGAAACGTAAAGAAAATTAAAATTAAAACGTATTTACTCTAATTATCGTACCTAAAATCTATAATAATTTTGTGTATATTTTACAAGCTATATACATAAAAATGAAACATGAAATGCTTTTAATCTAAAAGTAATTTGTTACAACCTAATCAGAATAGTCCATATTATTCTAATAAAACGATAAAGCATTTTGTAACGTATTTACATATTAAATATGCCTATTTATATATTATCTAGATTCACAATATTAAAATAAAAACGTAAATTAACACTGAAGAAGCATCTATACAGATTTATATCTATTTATTCAAATAGAAAAATAAACAAAGGGAAATATAAGGATGACAATATTCTAGTTGAAGTAGTGGTGATGAATTCTAGTAGTATTAAGTGGTATGAATATACATTATGCATTGACGAAGATCAAATTTCGATGGCTCTTAAACTATAGCGTTCGAAACATAAATTTTGCTAGACATTTTAGACATTACATTAATTAGGATATATCAAACTCAAATATACGATAGTCAATTAAAATCTACAGTTCTTTTTATTTCTAACGATCTTCTCAAATTAACATAAAACAAATTGAAAATCTCATAATGGTGGCTTTTTATAGTCTAAATAGAATCCTTCGCTTAACTTAATAACAACTATTGACATGAATAAGAAATTATAAACCGAGAGAATTCACAAAAACAAATGAAGATCGTGAATCGTTAATGAAAATGATGAAATCATTGTATCGTTAAAAATCGTTCTTATAAATTACAATTATTTCATTAAATTGTGATCAATTGAATATTGTCATTATGCTCCACGGGAATCAATTGCTTCGATAGATTTCTGTTTAGCCTACATTTAAAATATTTACAGTCTTCAAAAATTGCCTTACATAATAATTTGAAATTAAATCTATAACACTTGTCTGCTGTTATTTCTATCTTCAATCGGCTTAAGCAATCGTAACTTTTCGGCAACTGGTAACCTAGTAAACAAGTTACAAAATTAACTTCGTGTGTTAAAAAGATAGATTAAAACGTTCTTTAAGAACTCGAATTTTCATTATAGTAAGCCTTAAAAAACTGCCATAACAATACATATATTGAATATTTAACTACGTGTACATACCTGGACCGTTTTTTTCTTCTGACTGTATCTGCAGGAGTCGCTTCAATACAAAGTACAATCAATCGCGTACTGCACGAATATCTATAATAAAAAAATGACAATCAATTATTATTTTAAACGATGGTATTGGCAAATGTTTTAATAATGTTACATACGTTTCTTGGTCTAACAATTTGTTCGAATGCAGTGATGATGCTAGTCCAAATTTATCGCCGCTACTGCTGTGCCATGCGTCACAATACGCGTCCATTGCTGGTTCCCCATTAGGTCCGGCGCCGTGCCATACCGCTTTTATCTGCCTACAATAAATCGTACTAATATTATGAATATCAAAGTTTAGATAGATACATTTATATTTGTTAGAGTTTGAAGCCTAAACCTGCTGAAGGGATGTCGATAAAATTTGACATCGATGTAGAAGATAGTCTGGAAGAACACATATGATAATTCTTTGTTTTTTTATTTTAATTCCACGCAGACAAAAGCTATATGTAAAATACTTTTAGTTTATTTAAAGAAGTTTTAAAAGTACATTTTTCAATTACCAGTTCGGATCAACGAGAACATTTTTTCCACTGAAGCTGAAAATTCTCGGAGCGTGTGCAAAAAGTGCACCCGATCCATCAAACATTTCACCCCACGAGTTGAACAAAACGTCGCCTCGTGTATTCACTACAGGTATTTCTCGGTCCACCCAGCTCACTATTGAGTCGATAGTTTGCACTCTGCAAAAAAATTGTAAAGTTACCACGAACATACTTTTACGAGTACATACAAAACATTTATTTTTAATATAATTACATTCTGTTTTAAATTGCATCATTTCAATTACAGTAGATTTTAATCTTTGCTAAGAAAAACTGAAAATACTTGTACTTCTATATAATATTTCCAGTTTACATGCTTCTACATTTTTTAGATTTTACGCCAACAGCAACAAAGTCATACCTTGAAGATATGAACGCGCCGAAAGTGCCTTCAAGCCCCGCCCTTTGTGCTTGCCTCCGGCACTCGTAGTTAGTGCTGCTGACACCGTGCATATCTCCTGTATGTGGTTCATTTAACGCAGCTAGACGTAACTAGAAAAAAATCATCTAACTAGATAAAAATCACCGATATTATTATATTAGAGTATAATTTAAATGGTTTGAATCATTTAGAGAGCAATGTTAACAAATTCTGTAGTTAAATGCTTACCACTGGACCTTCTCCCGCTGGATTTTTATGGTGCACAAGACTCGAAGTTTCCAATATATTCTGTAGTGGAGTTCTAGTTGGAGTACCGTTAGAAGAAGATTGTATCGCCAAAAGTGAACCCATCTACAATACAAACGTTGTTAGGAAACAAAGAGAAAATTACCATTCTTGAAATTAAAATTTTCTCGTTAAGTTTATAAAAAATTAACTTTCAATAAAATTAAACAATAATATCGAGGTTAAAAATGTTAATATAGATTTTAATATGAAGACATGCTTCGAAATAAAAATATGGTAGTAGATTTAGATATTTGTCTTTGCTCACCGCGACATATTGCCAGCCGTTGTTGACACGAACAAGCAGCGCTTGCTCCTGGATGATATACGCCAAAGTACCTCGAGGACAGGCTACGCCGAGCTAACAACAGAATATTTACTCTCTCTACTCTCTTATTCATAACTATTTTAAAACGATCTAGATTTATATTAATAAATATCAAATAGTATAATGTATTTGTCGAACATTTGGAATCGTTCTGTCACAAAAGAACACTAACAGAGTGACTCCATATCGAGAGCGGCTGTGAGTGTCCATTGCCGCAATCAGACGCTAAGTGGAAATAGAATCTTCAGTACAGTAATAGTATTTATGTCAGACGTATATCGTCTAATACATGGTATAATTTCTCTGAGGTTATTAGTAATTCAATCAAATGTCTTTAAATAAATGCTTACTTTGATTAAAGATTCCGTAGTCTTGAACAGAATGGTACCAACTATTGCTTTTCCTTCATCATCATCGTCGAAATCCATATCATCCTCCAAATTCTCTGTTGGATCTCGCAAACCTATTACATAATACTTCCTAAATTATGGCAGAAATTTTAAAATCTTGTGGAATAGTGGATTACTATGTTAGGAGACCAGCCTTGGAAATTTTTTAAAAAAAGTACCAAAAATCTAAACTAAGATACAAGTCTTTACAATTTTTTTTTGTGAAATGTTTTAGCAAATGTACAATTACAGAGCAATGATTTATTCCTTAGTAGAACGTGTAATTGATTTGATTGTACACTAATTAATATAATCAAGTGGTATGTTCTGTATGTGGCGTATAAATTACTGGCAATTATAATTTTAATTAATACAACAGCAAAGTTATTTGTAACCAGTATTGGTACTATTATTTCATCTTTCTTAGTACAGTTACTTTTAAAATTTCATATCAACCAATTAAAACAGTCTACTAACTTAATAGTATTAACGAAAGGTTACATAATAGTTGAGTTGTGGAAAACGTGCGACATTTATTAAAGGAATGAGCCCGGACTGGGCTATTTAGGATTATCGCGATATCCTTACATAGGTCACTAAATCTAAACAAACTCGATGTTGGGCTTTAATGTACTGTTATCGCAACCCTATAGCGGAGAAGCAAAGAATTTTAGATTTATTTAATAGGACATTTATGATGGTAACTTACATATTGGGAAAAGAGAATATCAAAAAGTAGTAAAAAAATTTTTTAACCTTATTTTAATACGGAAAAAACTGAATCAGCAATAAAACAACCAAGATTTAAATAAAAATTACTTACCGTAAAGCTCTTGACGATTCTGCATGAGGTGATTTAAGCTTCTTAGTATTTGCAATGCGTCCCGTTGTTTGCCTTAATGGAAAACACAAAATAAATCCCGTTGTACTTTTATTTGTACTCTGCAACGCATTTATGAAAGTATCATAGATTAATTTTACTTTTGTTAAGACTATAATCTTACCCGGATTTGGTCCACGGCGATTAGTACCTGGGGTATCGGTTAACGTATCTGGGGTCTCATTGATATAACCAGGACCCGGAGCTCCAGGTGGACCAGGCGGACCTGGGGGTCCAGGAGCTGATATGTACTGTATATTTGTTGCCGGGGTTCCAGGAGGTCCAGGAGGACCTCTTGGACCTTCTCTTCCAGGCGTTCCATCATCCCCTCGAACGCCCTTTTCACCTTTGACCTATATTGATATAAAAAAAATAATTTAGGCATTATTAAGTACAACAATAAGTTTATGAAATAGAATCGTGGTACCTTATCGTAATCAAATCCAGAATCACCTTTTTCACCTTTAGGTCCTTGGGGACCAGGCTGACCTGTAGCTCCTGGGGGACCCTAAAATGTATATAAATACTGAAACTTGTTGACATACTTTGAATCTTGACATTCAATTAAATCTTCTAACTTACCGTCCATCCTGGTAAACCAATATCTCCAGATATCCCGTTAGTGCCTGGTATCCCCGGAGGACCAGGAAGTCCTGGTGGGCCTCGAACTCCTGGTGAACCTGGGTGACCACGTTTTCCTCTTGGACCAGGTTCACCTTTATCACCCTAGCGTATAGAAAAAAGTATTTAAATAGTGGTCATGGATAAAAAAACCATTCTATGTCATATTTTATGAAAAAAAGTACTTACCTTTGTCATTATAACAGCTTCATCTCTCGAAATAGCAACTGGTCCAGGCGCACCTGTTTCCCCTTTATCTCCTTTAGGCCCGGTATTACCTGATACCCCTTGAGTCCCGGGTAAGCCGGATGGTCCAATATCACCACGTTCACCGGGCTTACCATCATTACCTGGGAATCCTTGAGGACCTTCTAAACCTCTTACACCCTTTTCACCCTAAAATACCAAATACGTTTACGGGAATCATTGTTTACGGCTGTCAACCCTGACTTACAAAAATGATTTCATATAAAATTAATGATATCACATAACTGTTTATCCAATTTTTTCTATCACGAGGTAAAACAACAAACGTAAAATGTATTTATCATAAAATACTAATTTACTCTAACTACTGGTGACAGGTAATTACCTTTTCTCCTCGTTCTCCTTTTTCTCCTTTTCCCCCTTTTGAAAGGGAGGTAACGTCACGCAGCCCTGCGAACATTATTTTATTGTACATGTTTTTGTTTTGTAATATATCAATAGAGTTCACAGTAAAATAACTTTTAACGTGTACACTGAAGGAACAAATCGCTACCGTAATTTTACAGACATGTTCAACATTAAGTAGCGAACCGTAAGTCATTTATATTCAGTAAACGTTATGGAAAACATATAAAATACAGGTCGAGTTATTAGTTGAGGTTTTAAGGTAAACGAGTATGTTATTACATATTCTGTAAGAAAAGGCTTTAGTAATATGGGATATGAAAATACTGCTACAATTAGTAAATGTCAAACAGATAAAGTTTGTTTTGAAATATTAAATAATTTGAAAGTTGCCGACAGAACAAACTTCTGGAAAGTTCTCGTAAGTTGTGGGGAAAGTAATTTTGTGACTGAGCCGGTATTAGTTGGCAGCGATAGTTGAAGTTTTGTGACCTTTTTCTTCGATTACAGCATGATAAAAAAATAATACTTACCCGGTCGTACTAGTCCAGTTCCAATAGAGTTTTCTAATAAAGTTGGACTGTACGTAGGGGGTGGCCCCGGTGGACCGCGAGCACCTGTGTTTGGAATAAAGAAAAATATTTATTTAAAGAAACATTTTTCCATTACTAAGTCGATCCGAAATCATTGCTAATAATCGGGATCACAGTGGGTCATAAATTTTAATGGTTCAGTTAGTTTGTTACCTTTCTCGCCCTTCTCCGCGGGGCGGCCGTGTGGGCCCGGAAGTCCCGGCAAGCCGTCGCGGCCCGCCTGACCCCTCTCGCCTTTGACGCCATGTGGCCCTCTAGGCCCAGAATTACCCTACAAATTACATTAGTCAAGAACATTTTCGACGCATCCTTTTCTCCTAGCTTCCTCTGACATCTAACGAATAAAATTTGGAATCTCGTTTATTATACTTTATTACGTATGTCTGTTTCCTTTGATAACCACATTTAAATAAACTTATTCTCTTGACTTCAATAGAAACATTACATGGCTTTCAATCTATTATTAAATTTGTTACTTACCATATGATCTTAAATCGATTAATATATAATAGATACAATAGTAAAACTCACACGTTCGCCTTTATCCCCTTTTGATCCATGCAAGCCCTTTTCACCCTTATTCCCTGGATAGCCTCTCTCACCTTGAGGACCAGGTAACCCCATTGGCCCTCTGTCTCCCGGAGCAGCAAGAGTTCCGCGATTACTAGACCCGTATAATCCCGTTGATTCCTGTTTAAGTGGAAGCGGCAAATTACAAGGATTTAGAGAACATGTACACAATAATATAAATAAAAAATTACGGGTGGAAAAAAGGACATTGCTTTCAAGTAGCGATGACCTTTGAAAATCAAAGTAAATTAAATAGATTATTCTGAGAAGTTAAGGTAAAATAACCACATTAGTCAAACAGAAATAATGTGTTAGGTTTGAAATGGTTTACTATTAAAGCCGAAGATACTGGTCCTGGTGGTCCGGGTGGTCCTGCCGGCCCTTGTGGGCCAGGCGTTCCATCAGCTCCTGGATCTCCCTTTGGCCCCGGTTGGCCTTCAATACCAGGTGAGCCAGTTTCACCCTTTTCTCCTTGATCGCCTTTCATACCAGTTGGTCCAGGTGGACCCTGATCTCCCATTTGACCCTAAATAACAAAATTACAATCTTAAATGAATTCTACACTAACCAAATTTCAAGTTGTAAAATGCTAACTTTTTTTTTAAATAGAACATCCTTATTTATTTCATTTAAGATAATAAATTTAGAATTCGTACCGTTTTTCCTGGCGCTCCAGTAGTACCATCAGATCCTGTAGGACCCGGGGGACCGGGTGGACCCTTTATTCCCGGTATAGACTCCAAAATGCTTGATATATCATTAGGAGTACACTGACAATATTCTGATATCGGTAACTGCAATATAAATAATTTATTAAATAACACATTTGTGTTAAAAAAGTTAAATAAAAAAATGTCTTAATGAATTGTACCAGTAAAATCATATATCATTAGTACAATAAAGTTAATTCATCGTCGCATCAGTTTTAAAATACTACGATAGCTTTCTTCACTACTATGACGGATAAGTTGTAGATGTAAGGCTTAGTTATCTTTTTAAACAATACAAACGTTAGCTTCTGTAGATCTGCCTAGCTTAGCCAGCGTGCCGGAAGCCTGCGGTTCTCCATTCACTGTTCCATCAGTTGAGCCCTGTTTATACAATGCATCCATTAGAAAGCGAAAGGGTTTGTTCTATTACCTTTTATGTTATTCACAAAGGATTACTGTTAGTAAATTAATATTAACACAGAACAAAATGGAAATAGTTAAACAGTATTAACATAGCTGTAAAACTAAATGTTTCAATACTCACATTTTCATCCCTTTTAACACCTTTTTGTCCAACGAAATCTGTAAATCAAACTTCCTTTATAGCGCTAATTACATTAAATTTTTAACCTCAATTTAATTGTCTTGAAATTATAAAACTTTTAAATATATTTAAGTTCCTTCTCTTTTAAAAATATCACACATAAAAATAGAAAATCATGAATCCGAATAACTTGGTGATATCTTTTGAGAGTAATTATGCAACTTATTATACTTAATAAGAGCTTATTAAAGTATTAGAACCCTTTAATAATACGTACAAGAACTTTCGCCGAATAACTAACTCATTTAAGACTAACTAAATTTGGCAGAGATTCAGAGCTTTTAGCTTATCATATTAACACATTATAATGGAGTTTCATTAACTTAAAAACTTACACGGCGATGAATGTGATACAACTGGCAGTCTATTTTCTTCTGGGTTTACCTGTAACAATAAAATTACTATCATTTTTTTTATATTTCATTTGGAATAAATTTTAATAGCAATTAAATACACTACAATATGTATCGTTTTCTTATATGATTTCTTTCTTTCTATTATTGTTAGAATAACAGTATCTTACTAACATTATAAATGAAAAAGTTTAAAAGTATGGATATATGGACAAACATCAACATTTGTAGGAAGGGACATGCCTTCAACAACATGTAAACTAATTTTTATGATTGGTACAGATGTACAACATGGTATGGAAGAACAGATAAGCTTATTTTTGAGTTTTTCTTTTAATTTCCTACGTACGAAGTCGCGAGCAAAAGCTAATTTAATAATAGATTTAATACGTTTTTTCAAAAAAAAATCTACCACTATAGTTATAGTGAAAATAAGTGAACTTAGGTGTGTTTTTTACCAAATTCAGAGTGTGATAGCCCGTAACTGCCCCATTGGACAGGATAACTAATGGCCATTCAGTTACATCACAGACGAGTACTATCTAATCATATAACAGTAAAGTTTTAGAATATAAGTGTCGTCATCCTGGTCTGGGATCTCAATCTATTAGTAAATGCAATCTTCCCCCCATTATCATTTTCAATGATGGGTATATTTGTATATAAAATATCGTATTGGTACACAAAAAACATAGATGTGATTTTAATGCAGTCAAGTCACGCCTTACATCTCGACGGAACGAGAGGACTCGAAGCAATACAAATAAATAATTCATACAATCGGGTAGATACAGTTCAGTCGATATTGAAGTAATCCGAATTCGAATATTTTGCCGAGTTAAAGAAAGGACCTTAAGTATAAGTGAGTTGGAATTGTATTAAACTGAATCAGCTTATAAAAAATAACAAGATGGTCATCGCTTTGGGATTACAATACATTTTTATGATAAGTTTCTAAATCTCCTTTCACTTTTACTATAAGCACAGTTAATAGACATACCTACAAGCGACCGCTGCGGAGGAGACGCATATAAAGAGGATACTTTCCCTTCCTGTGCATCTACTCCAAAGGTGAAAAGGGGAAGACAAGGTGCATTTGAAAGCAAATGCACTTTTCCTTCCAATACTTTCCTCATAAGATAAGGATGGAAAGGGAAAGGGACAAAAATTAGGCCTCTGGCACCACACTCTTCAGACGAAATGGAGAATTGCTTCCACTTCACGCCTGTCTTCTGTGTAGAAAACTGAAAGAACTACTTTTATTCGTGTCTAAATATGCAACATCTGTTATTATTCCACTATACCAATATAAAATACCCAAATCTATTTTAAAATTAAAATCATCCTAGTATTACGAAAACATATTTACAATAACAATAATGAAGTAAATAATTACCACACTCATGTAATTACAGTGGTAGATATGCTTTATAAAAATACGACTACAAAATACTCACAACTGTTTATTATTCAACGTTATATTATAGAAACACGTTTAGCTTAATGATTCGAGTCACGGAAGGTTCTTCCTAGGAATCATTAATTAAACGTAACCGTTGTCATTAATCATTAATTTTAAGCCGTTGATAAAATTTGATATCATCATATTAGTAAGTAGCTTTTGCTCGAAACTTTGGTCATGTGAAATTAAAAATTGTAAACCACATAACCTATATGACTCAACGGTAGGGTAGGTTTTCAATCATAAGGGAATTATTTAAATCGGTCCAGTAGTTTTTATGTTACTTCAATATATAAAAAATGCAAATCTTTCCTCTTCATAATATTAGTATAAACAGTATAGAAATACAGATTGTTATTGTACCATAATCAATACTTATACAAAGAGGAAAAATTTATATTTCCACAATTTTGCATTTTTTTTGTATTCGATACACGTAAAAACTACTGGGCCGATTTCGAAAATTCTTTCATCATTAGAAAGGTAATTTATCTGTTAGGAACATAGTCTATATTTTTTATTTTTTTTTTCAATTTCAGCAACAGCTACTAATATTACGAAAGAGTAATATTATAAATGTATTTTTAAAAAAACTTACTAATGTTATAAATGCGAAAGTTTAGATGGATGGATGGATGGATGGATAGATGATGTTTGCTAAAGTTTGTAGGCTAGACAGCTGAAAGGATATTAATAAAATTTGGCATAGATGTAGAGGATAGTCAGACACATGGGCTATTTACTTATGTATTTTTTAATTCAAATAGTCGGAGTCGCGGGCGAAATCTAGTATTTTCATAATTTAAAATGGCAGACTAAAATTATAAAATGATTATTATCTTACGTTTTGCGTTAATTAAATGTAGCTCAAGTGAAAAACAGTTGAACCAGATCGTGCCTTGTGTACGAATTACCCATTTTCTGTTTAAAATGTAGATAAAGCTTATCACAAACGGTATCCGAGGACAATTAACTCGATTGTTATAGGATTTGAATTAACATTTTGTTTTCTCTATTATCTTGTTTGTTGTTTCACTAAAAACACACACATATTTCGTAGAATTCATGTTTGAAAAATTATTTTATACATGATTTTACTGCCAATATTGTGATTGAGTATTTTCACGATGCCTACAAAACGTAATAAGGTGGTGGATTTCTTTATACCGCAGTCTCACACGTGCCAAGTCATAAAATTAAGTTGTAACACGTAAACAAAATAATTCTGGAAGTAAAAGAAGATTCAGCGGAAAATCTTTAACATTCTTTTATAGATTTCATAATATTTATTTATATACTTCGCAATGTATTATTACCGAATGGAGTGAAGTGATAGTTATCACATTTGCAGTTGCAAACGATTGGATAAAACTTGAGTAACAATCGGGAACGGTCAAGTCATATGGAAATCACTAAGATAACGAATTAAATTTAACAAAATATGTAAAATAGAAAGTTGATGCAAGAAAGTTTACATTTTAATACTGGCATAAGCCTAACTAGGAATGATATGATAACTTAACTATCTGCCTAAGAGTTAATTAACTACTAATGATCGGTTTCTGAAGTCTTCATTTATTTTATCATTAACTATTGATTCATTAGTGTTAGGTTTGAAAAAGTTTCAAAGGAGTAAAACCTAGTTCGGAAACGGCTTTCAGGATATTTATGGAGCCAACACTAACGAAAGGTTAAAAGTAGCTGGGAAACTAGTTATAAGAAAGTGTAGTTGTAGTCATGTTAGATTTCTCATATCAAATTTACACTTAGATCTTCAAGAATCTGAGAGCAGCAGTATATACAAATTTTTTAATAAATAAAACTTACGGCTCGGTGAGTAACGAAGGATGTGCGCCCTTGGAGTCTTGCGCTAATTTTTGCAGGCGTGTCTTCATCCTCCCTTTTCGGATCGAACCATCCAAACGCCGCGCCCACAACCAACACAGCGCCCAGTATCATCAGCGCCAGGAATCCACCGATAGCAACTTTCGTCGCTTGAGATATAACCATCGCCATTTTTAAATCCACATAAGTCTTATCCACTTAATTTATTTCTCCATTTTTATTGTCTTTAATACACAAAAGAAAAACAAATGAATGTTATTAGATCCATGATTTTTTTAAATTTGTCACTTGTTTTGTATCTAAGTAAAAATATAACAAAGCGTTACTAATAATTTGATAATAGTTATTTTACGGCCGAATTAAGAACGAACCACAGACTACTTTGTAAGCGTCGTCTATAAATTAAGGCGTCAAATTATTTGTGGAATTTAAAGATTAATTTTATAATAACTGCCATAACATTATATGGTTTATATTTTAGGAATTAAAAAAAAAGTTGTTGTTAATACAAAAACAATTTAATTCTAATATTCCAATATTAAAACAAAAAAAGCTTAAAGCGTTCGGAATTTCATATTATAAAATTTTAATATTCTCCTACAAACAACAGGCCAATGCCCTACTCTTCATTGCTTTGTTAAAATGTCAATACGTATTTATTTAAATTTTCTAAACTAGCTTCAAAGTCCACTTTTTAATTTCTGCAACTTTAAAACCGGGCTTTTGCTAATTATTTTTGTTTAAATATATCATAACAAAACTGTATGTGACATTATAACATCTTAATCATCACGATCATCATCACCATCTTCTTCTTCATCATCAGCCTTTATTTGCCTACTGTTGGACATAGGGCTTTTCCAATACCACCAACAGAATTTAAGCATTATCACAATGAGAATTGATTATAGTAGGCAAGGTTACGTTGTTATGCAATATGTAAATTAAAAGCGAAGACATGTCATGTCGGAAACAAGAAAGATAAAACTTGACAACAGAATACGTCCCAGTGAAAGAACTTAACCATAAAAGACGTCACACGCATTATAATATTCTCAATTGTTTAATTTCCACATATTGAAACAATATTTAAATATGTAACAATGTTTCAAATGGTAAGGCAAAGCTCATAATTCATATTGGGTTATATTTTGACGTCTGTTGAATTGTAAGAGGCCGTTTCGAAGCAGAAGTTTAGATTCGTTTCAGTAATCATCCGTTAGTGTGTGTGTCATAATTTTAATTTATTCACAAATTTGATAACATTTATTAAACATTTTCGTAGTTAAAAAGCCAAAGCAATAAAACCGAAACATACAGTAAAACCGATTTATTTTAAACTTCTCTTAGTCCCTTTTTAGACCGTTGTCAAAGAAACGTGAGGTTGTATTTTAATTAAATTAAATTCTACATAACAATATTTATGTGGCAATCGTATGACTCGACAATACGAACGATAAATAAAATATTAAATAGGTGCGTAATAAAATAATTTAGGAACTGAGACTGTATTATAACATAAACGAGATGTTGAGTCTTCAAAAGAATTTACTTAAACTATTTCAAAATTACTTCATAGGACTTGAAAAGCAATGTTAACATAATTTTAAGACAATGATATCACTGCCTACCTAATTTAGGGGTGGCAAATAATGATATACTCCTCTAGTATTTCCCTATAAATTTTCCTATAAACCTATGTTAAGTATGTCTGTATTCATTTAGTAAATAATACATTTTTTATCAGTTTTAATCGATACAAAATTGAAATAATCGATTAATCAATACCAAAATCGTACCATTCAATATTGTAAACAAATTTAAAATGACCCAAAAGCGAAATTAACGCACACCTTGCTCCTAACCAATTTACGAGTACGCTTTCGTAAAATAAACGGCAGGTTGCTGAAAATTTTCCAACAACTAATTTTAAGTTAATTAACACAAAACGATGTCTGCATTTTTTATACAGTTTGGAGAATTAAAATCTAAGCTTAATGAAAAAAAAGGCTTTATTTTTATTCACCATATATTTCTTGAACAGAAAAGTGTTTTAACAGAAAATTTCTACATGTAATATGAGAAGTATGAATAAAATCATAGTTGTTTTTTTGCGTCAATCCAAGCCTTAACATCAGTAATCCCAAACGCCCTAATACTATACTAAACAAAAACAAATCTCGATTAAGAATTTATGTCTTTACTGAATAAAACATTTACCATATATAATTTAATTAAAATTATATATATAATTAAAATTTTTTATTAGTATCTATTTAGACTTCAAAAGTTTTAGCTCAAATTGTGGTTTGTCTTTTGTTCAGGGTTTTGATTGGAATTCGGTGTTAATTTCATCTCACTCAATTATAACAATTTTATTAATAATTAATTGTTTTTTCATCATATGTTAATTATAAACTATGACGTCATATTAAAATAGATAGAGTGTGCACAAATGACCGGGTCGCTACACAATAAGCGTAGGCCTCCAGTCTCGGACGTAGGCAGAGCTTCAGGGTGTTGCTGAAGCGTTTCCGACATTAAACAATTCCATTGTTCATAATACTGTACGAGAAATATCTTAGATGAAGGCCTGTTTCTTGTAAAACAGTTCCGTTGTCAGTTATGTTTGAACCATGTTCAATTTCTAGTCTATTATTATTATGAATTAGCTGTTCCCGTACGATTTCATCAGCATAAAATTATTTTATTGTTTACATGTGTCAAATTGCGAATGTCAAAATGATATGCCATGATGACAACTTTGCTTCCTTGATGTATGCAGCAACTTATGGTCTCTTTCCCACATTAGGGTTTTTATCAAAAAATATTTACCCCTAAGTTTAATAGCGTGAAAATATATAGCCTAAAGCGTGAAGTAAGTGTAGGGCTTTTTATAAAAAAGAATCATTCAAAAATATTCCGTAATTGCCGACATCTTAGGCAACAAAGAAGTGTGTGTTTACCATTTATTATAATAGTATAGATGGATAATAATTAACTTAGTGAAGATTAGTTTCATAAAGGATACAAAAAAATATGTTATCTACTATTATTTAAGTAAATTTATTTACATTGGTCAACTCTATGCGACACATAAATATAGGCCTTAGAAAATTTGAATCACATAATAAAACTCGATATAAATAGAAATAAAATAAAATTTGAATACCCATTAGCAACAAGATATGCGTAATTCACTTTTGTTTTAAACAAGCTTTTATCCGCAGTATTAGCTATGCAATTTATAAATACGCATGGAATTAAATCGCAGCATTCTATTGTTAAATATTTCAACGATTACGTTAATCATTAGATTATACTCGTATAACTGAATTAACTGAACCGATCCTCCCTTAATATTGTACTAATTGATACAAAATATTTAACAATACAAATACGCCTCATTAAAACGAAAATCCTTGCTTTAAACTATATCAGAAACTATATTTTAATAATGTGTAATCCATCACTAAAAGTACACACCAAACAGTATTTTATCTTGGAATTAGATTCAGTTTTTTTAACTTGCTTCGTATGAAACCGTATAACAATGTGTAGATTTTGAAATTAGTGATAAAAAAACATTAAAACTAAGGTTACCTGATTTTCAGTAATCACACGTTTTTTTATATTTAGCAAGTCAAATTAATACGATAAACATAGATTTATTACATATGATATATGTTCGATATATGTATAACGATAATTTAGTGTTTTTCTCATATTATTTTCTGAGATGTATTATAATGTGACGTAGATTGGTTCCCCTCACTTAAATAACTTATATAACTTTATAATATATTTAAAATTTTGGCAAATAAATCATTTCCTAAATTTTCGATTATACAAAAAGCATATATAGTATTTGTGGACAAATGATTCAGTCGTAATACTCGTATAATCGTATTTTTTAATATTTTCACAAAGCACATTAAAATAAAATAAATATGAATTTACGGCGCATAAAAAAATGTGGTTAAAAATATTGTATTAGTATTTTAAATTTTTACCAATCTTCAATAATTCAACACAATAAACGATTGTCATTATTTATAACTCAATAAAAGTAGGCACGAAACTGAAATTCACTGCACTGAAATAAAAGTTAGCGATTATGATACGTTGGTTCGTAGCGGTTTGGCGATATCAAGGTAGCGCCTTTTGTGGAGCGTGTAGCAAACGTCCGATCCGCTACGACGCCGCGGCGGCACTGGCTACGCGGGTGCTACAATCCGCGTCTACATTTTAGATTACTACTCGTAGCACAGATTCTACAATCAATAGAACATAATTTCGAAAGGAATTTATTTCATTGATTTACAAATGTAACTACATTCTTTTTATTATAGTTTGAAAAATGTAAAAACAAAATATTCTAAAAACTTAACAGAAGTTCAAGACGAGACAATTATGTAGTGTGCTTTGAGACATACGGCCGAATTACTCAGAGAAGGGCTTTGCATTTTAATACGGCAGGCGCTTTTATTGTCTAGATTCTAGATTAGAATTTCTGTACTAAACCAACGTGATCCTTTAAACTAGGAAAATATTTTTATTTTTTTATTTATTTTTATTTACATACAGAAAAAAATATATATAAAAATTTACAAATAAAAATGTCGCCAAACTGCACAGCAGTTTGTTGGCGACAAACACCC